TACAAATACAAATAATGTGTATCTAAACTATATACGTTATGATTATCACAACTTTTAGTAGTAGCATTATTATTACGATAATTATTAGCCAGTGTTTACAGCGCGTGAGGGCGCCATTACAGTTAGCAGCTCGTACTAAAACACATTAAACCTCCTCAACAACCAACCAGCCTTATTTAATACTCGAGATGAAGCATTCTGCGTCAGGATGTGTTTAATTTTCATGATTTCTTTCACTCACCGCCTCCGTGTCGCCCGAATCGCGACATAATGAAGAACGAAATGAAGAAGAAATCCGATCATTTCAAATATGAAATACAGAGCAAACTGTAATAAAAACCGATACGAAACACAAACATCCTAATACTGACCTACAACCCAACAAAATAATAATTCATCAAAGTACAAATACAAATAATGTGCATCTAAACTATATACGTTATGATTATCACAACTTTTAGTAGTAGCATTAATATTACGATAATTATTAGCCAGTGTTTACAGCGCGTGAGGGCGCCATTACAGTTAGCAGCTCGTACTAAAACACATTAAACCTCCTCAACAACCAACCAGCCTTATTTAATACTCGAGATGAAGCATTCTGCGTCAGGCTGTGTTTAATTTTCATGATTTCTTTCACTCACCGCCTCCGTGTCGCCCGAATCGCGACATAATGAAGAACGAAATGAAGAAGAAATCCTGACAGAAACAAACAAACGATTACGCGACTGCGCATGCGCACACTCAAACTACATTTCCCATCATGCTAGTGTTGCGATATCTGATTGAGCGCTTTCTAAATCATTTTATTTGCGTTATTGGGATTATTCTGTGTTGTATATATCCCGTATACTCTCTATATGTTCAATAAAAATATGTATATATAAAAAAAAGAAAATCTCCGTGACCCAGCCAACCAATCACACGGGCGTTTGCGGCAGTGACGTCACGCGTGTCCAGCGTTCGCTGCGTCGTCGGTTTCCTGAGGAGAAGTTGACGGTGAAGATGAAGATGAAGTCGCTGATTGATTGATTGATTGATTCGCGGTGATCAAGTGATCGGTGTTTCGCCGCGATGCTGCAGTGGAGCGCCAGGAGTCCTCAGCTCTGGCACGAGTTCGTCAATCACGAGGTTTGTGTAACGAATCGAGATCAGCAGCGCTTCGAGGGACGCGTGTTCACGGTGGACCCCGTTTCTGCCAGGTAAACCTCATATTAAACATCATATTAACTCATATTATCAGTTACACACAACAACTGAAGGATCTGAACACGATCTGCTGTTTAGTTTGGGCTAAGTTTATTATGCTCTCTGGCTTAACTTTTCATCATGAAGTTAATGGTTTATAAATTCTAATATATCATCTATATTTGCAACTTAATTTAAAACATAGTCATTAATAGAAGTATTTAAGTATTTATTTTTTTAAATATGTTAATGCGTTTTAAGGTAAGGGGCTTCTGGAACACTTTGACTCAAATGAATCGGTGAATCATTTGGGTTTTGAATCATGAGGTGAACCGTTTGGATTTGTAACCATTATTAATCATGAGGTGAATCATTTGCGGTTTGAATCATTATGAATCGTGATGCAATTGGCTTAACTTTTATGATTTATAAATGATAATATACTATCTATATTTGCAACTTAATTTAAAACAGTCATTAATATAAATATAGAAATATTTATTAATATTAGATTTTTTGAATATGTAAATGCATTTTTGACTCAAATGAATCATTTGGTGTTTGAATCATTAAGTGAATCATGAGGTGAATCATTTGAGTTTAAAATCGTTAGGATTTTTTATTATTATTAATCATCAGGTGAATAATTTGTCATTTGAATCATGAGATGAATAAGTTATCTTTTAAATCATTATGAATTATGAGAGTTATTTGCATTTTGAATCGTTATGAATCATGAGGCGAATCATTTGGGTTCTGAATCATTATGAATTTTAAGGTGAATCATTTGTGTTTTAAATCACGAGGTGATTCATTTGCATTTTGAATAATGATGCAAATCATTTGTGGTTCAAATCATTATGAGCTGAATCACTGGTGTTTTGAATCATTTGCATTTTGAATCATTCTCAATTGTTCAGTGAATCATTTGCGTTTTGAACAAAAAATGATTTTTTTGTCCCAGTCCAGCCCTGCATGATATTGTAGTAAAACTGTGGTTATACAAAAAAACAACAAAAAAAAACTACACTTTTTATTTTCTAAAATAAAACCATGGTTAAGTTTTTTTTAAAGGGATTTGTATTCTTTCGTTTTCTTTATGTTTTTATAACTGTACTGAATTCATAGTTTGATGTTTTGTGCTGTTTAATAATATAAGAAATGAAATGGTTCACAAATCATTTGATTCAGATCAGGATTTCGGAGCACGGATCGCGAATCATTCAATTAGAATGATTCGCAAACTCTCTCTGAAGTTCCAATCTGAATCAAAGATTCACGAACCTGCTCTGAAGTTCTGATTTAAATCAAATGATTTGCGCTCTGAAGTCCCGATCTGAATAATGGTTCGCGAATCATTTCAGATCAGCTTCGAAACAGTGAATCATTTTGAGGCGCGATGGTTTAACTGATTCAGAGTCTCTAAAAGCTCTGTTTAACCCATCACTATAGGTGCTTTTTAAAATCATTACAAGTGATGTCGAAATTGGAAAATGAATGGCTTTTTTGATCCGTTTTTTTCTTCTAGTGAATCGCTTGAACCGAATGATCGAAGTCACGAGTTTGAATCAATCGGAGCGGTTCCAGCGTAAATGACTCACTCAATTGAATCGGTTCATCTGTTTCTCCTCTTTTCTCGTCTTCAGTCATGTTTACACGACACTGTCAGCTCTACTACTGACTCAGCTCGCTAGATTTACGACATTAATTGAAATACGCGAAAAAAGTGTTGTTTCCAAATAAAATCTCCATATTTCCACTCCAAAGATAACATCCAATGCAAATCTATAGTGAAACACTGCATTAATATGACGAGCTGCAGCTCAAAACACATGTTAGATGGAAACACTGCTTTATGATGGAGTTTGCAGCTTAATTCACTATATCTGAAATAGTTTGAGCTGCAGCTCAATAGAAATCATCTGAAAGCATTTACACGACACTGTCAGCTCTACTACTGACTCAGCTCGCTAGATTTACAACATTAACTGAAATACGCGAAAAAAGTGTTGTTTCCAAATAAAATCTGGGCCCTTACAGTTGCCAAAAATATAACTCGTGTTTTTTTTTGGTTTGTTATTAAAAAACAAATAAGCAAGCCCAGCCTAGGTGACAAAAAGTACCGCAAAATAACACAACGCCTTACTTTTTTTCATAAAAATTAACGCAATTAGTTACTTTCCCATAGAGTAACACAATATTGCAATGCACAGTTTTTAAAAGTAACTTTCCCCAACACTGAACACTATAAAGCGCTACGGAAAGTGAAGCGAGACGTGGCACGGCTAGCGTTTGGCATACAGTGGTAGAAACACTTTTATTCCCTTGTTTTAAGAAGGCGATCGTTTCATCTTTACATACTTATTGGCAAAACAAGAAATGATTGAGAAAATAAAAGTTCTAACACGTACAGGACAATCACGCGTGTTTCTTGAAGGTTTCTCCAGTACCTCTTTGGTGTGAGGGTACCTTAAACTCCCGGTGCTCTTCAGTCTACTGGCTCTCGAGTGAGTCTAGAACACCGGCGGCGTCCGGAAATAATCCAGAGAACGCTCTCCGTCTCCAGAAGAGCTGCTCCGTTTAGTCTGTCATCCAGCAGTCTGTGTTCAGGAGGAGAACCAGCCGATGACTGCAGAAAACCAGCCAAGCCGTGAAATGAAACGAACATGAGACAAAACCGCTACACCGAAAGACAAAAAAACAATACAGAGAGTTCCCCAACGGGCGTGATTTGCACTTTATGGAAACACAATCGTCGTCTCGGAAGGACGATTTTAAAGGGACAGTTCACCCAAAATTACAATTCTGTCATCATTTACTCATCCTCAAGATGTTACAAACCTGTACGAGTTTCTTTCTTCTGTTGAACACAAAAACAGATGTTTTAAGAATGTTGGCAAACAAACAGTTGACGGTAGCCATTGACTTCAATAGTATGGAAAAAAAATACAATGGAAGTCAATGGGTACCATCAATTGTCTGGTTACTCGCACTTCTCAAAATATCTTCTAATGCTGCGCAACGATTAATCGCATCCAAAATTAAAGTTTTTGTTTATATAATATATGTGTGTGTGTGTGTGTATTGTGTATATTTATTATGTATATATAAAGACACACACATACAGTATATATTTTGAAAATATTTACATGTATATATTTATATTCATATAATTTATATTATATATAAATATATTTAATATATAAACATAAAATTTTTCTTAAATATACACATGCATGTGTGTGTATTTATATATACATAATAAATATACACAGTACA